TTTTGATAAGAACTAGTTTATTGACAAATGAAAATAATGGATGAAATGATAATTGATCATACTCCTCTTGCTGATAGATATTCGAAGATTTATAACAAAAAATATAATAATTATATAAAGAATGTTAAGAGCAATACTAATATATATAAATCAGCATTGCCCAAGATATGAACACTTGGAATTAAACCCTTGTTTAATCAAATCGGCTTTGGTTTATCAAAACCTTTACCAAAAATATTTTTAAAAAAGGATAGATTTATTAAATATTATTTATAAATTTAATTTAAATTTATTTTTCAGTGATATTGTTTTTGAGAAAAGATCAAAGGTTTTAAAAAATCATTTTATATTTTTTAATGCATTTGAAGAATTCTTTTAAAGTTATAAATTAGAAAGAGGTTGTTTATACTTATTCGACTGTAAAAATAAATTAATGAAACAATCAAATTTGTTAGGTCATTTAACCGGTGTATTATACTGATTGTTACATAAAGGAATTTGTTAAAAATAATTTAAAAAATAATATAATACAATTGTTGTATGAAATTAGTTTAACAGAAATTACATCATTAATACATCAGTAATATAATCTACATCCTTAGTAAACTCTGAAAAACGAGCAAATAATTTATGCAGATCGTTATAAGGCGCATTCAATAGATCTTCTTTTTCTACAAGATTCAAAATATGTTCCATAAACGCTCTACATTTTTTAGAACTTTTGTAATTTTCACGAATATTTTCCTTTTTTGCTTCATCGGTTAATGCTTGTCTTTTTTTTAAATTTTTTCAAGAAATTCTCCTCTGTAGTCTTTATCCTTTAGTTTTTCTCATGAATTTATTTTTTTGCTCCTCTATTAATTCATCTGCTACTTTTTCAAAGCTGGCTTCACTTTCTAACTTCTTCCATTTTATTATTAACATATCAAACTTTTTTTGGATATCTTTTCATATATCCTGATAAAAATCGTTCGTTTGAATTTCATACATCAATGAGCCTGTATCTGTAAAAAATAACTCAGCTTTGTCTCCATATTTCTCTCGAATATAATTATAGTGAAAATAAAACATTAAATGTTTTCGAAAGATCTAAAATTGCTTGACCCACATAGATTGGTTTGTTAAAAAAACTTGTCTTTTTCACGTGAACTACAATCAGTTTTTCATCAAATATTGTTGCTTGTTCAAAATTAGGTTTCGATGAGAGTTTGATTGCTTGATCTCGATTATCAATTAGTGTTACATTTGTCTCTTTCTGATGTTTTCAATTGTTTCTCCAAACCGCTAAGTTATTCATAAGTATAAAGAAATCTTTCTCAAAAGTATTTGTTACTTGTTTTCTGAGCTCTGTGTTCTTTTATATATGGTTCCATCCACCTTGATTGATAAAATGAGATTCCTCTGTGAACTTTTTAAAGTTTCATTCCAAGACTGAGATATTGTTTGAGATTTCTGTAATGAAATACATAGTGAAATTTTGGATAAAAATTACCCGCAAGTTTTTCAACATTATCAATCTTTATTTTCTCTGGAGCAAGAGGATAATCATTCTAAGATTTCCATAAATCTCTTGGATATTCCAAATCAACTTCAAATAAATAACCGTGATTTGTGTTATTACGATTATTATTTTTAAACTTTGTTATATCTTTGACTTTTACGGAAAATTTATTTCTTAAAATTGAGATCATTCTCGTATTGTTTGAGGTAATTTATCCTTGGCTTGTCAAAGTTAACTGGATGAAGAAATCGTATTATCGACCAAAAAAAAACACTTATCATTATTTTTGTTTTCTATATTAAGAATCGCTTATAAAATCTGGAAGAGGGATGTATGATGATCCTTTCAAAGGTTTGTAATCCACAGTGTGAATTTCCAATGATAATACTTCTATAAAATACCAACCTGAACCATTCTTTGAAAATTTCAAATTCCATCATAAATCTTATTAATCATTCCAAACAAAAATTTTTTAATATCCGTCTTTTCAAGATTAATATAAGTATGAGATTGAAAATAAGCTTTATATTGTGTTGTAATTGTAGTTTTTCCCTCTTAAGATTGATATTCCATTAAACAAACCATTATATAACATTCTAATTTAAATCTTTCTGTGATTTGTGAGAAACTCTTTTATGCGAGGAGTTTTTTCCTCGAAGTAATCGATTGGAATAATTTTTGGTTTTCCTTCAATAACATACTTTTCAGCAAAATTATCAAGAGCTAATTTTTCATGCTTCATTCAAACTTGATATTCCCTCATTGCTCTTTCAAGAGCTCTTTTGAGGTAAGCTGGTGTGTCTTTTGGAATCTTCTTGTTTTTGATAAATTCCTGAAAATGATCATCAAATATTTTAATTTCGATTTTGATTTGGGAGTAGATTTTGCTTTCATAATCTTTTTTCTTGGCTTTTCTATTCCCATAATTTCGTGAACCAGTTTTTGTTTTTCTTGTTGCTGTTTATACTCATTAAACTCTTTTTTCAATTTAGTTTTTTTACCTTTTTCTATTTTCTTCAAATCTTCAATTGATAAGTTATCTAAATCAACAGAACTCATGCTTTTATCCTATGCTTAAATTATTTTTTGAAAATTTCAATTTTCTTTTTTCTATATCAACTAAAAATCTTCTTATCTAAACTAAAAACGCTGCTTTTAACATCTGTTTTTAATTTACATTACTCAACGAATCAGAATTTAACAAGTGTGACTGATAATAGCAGGTTATAACATTGTTAATTAAGTTAAAAGTTTTTCAATTAAAATGCAAATCATTGCCCTTGGGGTTGATATATTTACAAACTTTACTGACAAACTTTACTTTTAAAACCAACTCGTGATATATATACTGAAAAATCACTTGATAACCGTAAAGACTTAGATGTTCCTTGGGGAAGTCCCCAAGAGATTACATCATTGTCCTCCTGTTTTCCGAGAATGTCATATAAAATTAATATTTTGGTGGAAATAAAATTTGTCATAAAATTTTGACAAATCATTTCATTGTCTGCAACTGAAACGTAAATCATTAAATATTCAACATGGTCAAAACTGGCAGGTGTTTGCAAAGAGGGATTTCCCTAGTGATCCAAATCATTGTGTGTCTTTAGTAGTTATAATAATATTCTTTTTGGATTATTATATTCAATGAGATAATATTAGGACGTTTTGTTGTTGTGGTTGATGGTTCTCTCTGCTCACTCACTCACGCTCCCTCACTCAGCCTTCGGCTTCGATCGGGTCACTAATATCAAAAACTTTTGTTTGAGTTAATATGAGTATTTATAATAATATGCTTTCTGGCTGGATCCCAAAGTACTTATTTCCATCATTTTTCTGCTTTTTCCGCGAGCGAAGCGAGCTCATAAGTTGTTTAATGACTAGAATTTATCAGAAATATTAGGTTTTTACATTATTTCCTGTTTCGATTAAACATGTAAGTTTGGGTTATGAAAAAGTACTATAATTGTCGGAGATAAGTATAGGAAGTTTTTTCTAAAATGAGATATTGGATTAATGATGGAAATTGGGTGACAGAAATAATCAGGGTGATTTGGTAGTAGGGGAAAAATTGGATGACGGAAAAAAAGCAGAAAAATGATGGAAATAAGTACTTTGGGACTGAGCCAGAAAGCATATTATTATAACTACTAAAACTATCAAGCAGTGGCTATTGAACTGAATATGGCAAAATATATTTTAAAAAAGGAATTGACATACTTCCGTTCCTTTTCTTGTAAGCCGAGTAAAAAAAAAACTTGTAAGGGAGTCTTGCCTTCCATTTCTTAATGTCTCCCATGAACCATGCATCCATGCCATGGCCGCTTTCAATGACATCTGTTTCGCAAATAACTTTAACCATGTTATAATTAAATAATATCTAGAATTGTGAGTTTATTAGTTGTTTTATCAAGTCATAACTGACGAACTCGGTCCTCGGTCAGTCTTGTTAAAATGTCGTCTTACAAACACTGCTTGAACAAAGCATACTCACGACCAACGAAAGAAGGCTATCTTCATATAAGGTAGGAAATAAAAGTTACCTATGTCTGAAATGCTAAATATAAGGAAGGTAAAAGAATTTTATATCACAAGTTGGAAAAATTAGCTAGCTTTTCAGTTTCATCTCCCTTGGAATGAAAAAAAGAGGTTTTCAAGAACTTGTCATTCAAGAGCTGGCAGTATAGATCGTTTTCACTGTCACGCAGCAAAAAAATAAATTGGAAACCGTCGAGTGGAAGAAGCCAAGAAAATGAAATGTTATAAAAGACTAATTTATAAACAATTTGTCCAAATCTCAGGTCTTTATGGCCCACACAGTTTCTGAGTTATTTGCCAAAACGTTTCACTCACCTTCGTAGAGCTTTGTATGGAGACGCCATATTGGTGCACCGTCTTGGTGCACCAATATGGCCGCCGGAAATCAACAAAAACATCTGGAGTTCACTTTTTCTATAAAAGCTCTTTTTTTCACTCGAGAACTAGAATACGTGCGCATAAACATATTTTCTAATACTTGAAATGGTTATACTGCTGAAAATCAAGAGGAGAGACTTTTTTCAAGGAAACAGCATTCCCATTTTGGTGTCACGCACTGTGAAAACTCGGAAGTTCAAATTGCTGTATTTTCGAAATGAAACATGCTACGTTAAACGGGAATGGAAACTTGTTCAAAGATTTTATTTTTTGCGTATCTTCAACCTAGTGTAAATAAGAATTCGTAAAACCTCGCTATTTTGACTTTACTATTTGATGACGTCACTGTGAAAACCATCTATAGTGAGAGTGTCATGATTAGGTATACATGTTGCAACTGTATGAAATTTTTCAATTTCTCAAAAACAGCAAATAGCCTTCAAGTCAACACCGATCTTACAAGAATTTTAAGTTTTTTCACGCAAGTAGTCAACTTTGAATAGTGTTCCTTTCGCGAGATATTTGCCGTTTTCTCAGTTTCAGTTGAAGAAATAACTTCAATATTAGATTTTTAAAGAAAAGAATGGTTCAGTTGTTGATCATCAGCTTCGCTTTAATCTTCGCTTCGGTGATGTTTCTCTCTGAAGCAAAAGAAACAGTCGGAAAGGTAAAAAAATGGAAACTTTATGTTTGAAATTAATACTTACTTTATTAATTTTGCTTTCATCTCTTGTTTTATGGTACGTTTGATTCTTGAGGCTTTGATAAAATTCAGTCCACGGCCCCGTTTAAGAAGCCTGGTTTCTTTATATGGTCACAAATTGGCAATTAGCAAGAGTATAACATTAATTTTGGTTTAATCTATATGATACTTATTAGGAAATCTTAGCAGACAAAATTACGCTTAGCCACAGAGTATGGTAAGTTTTTAATATAACATCAGTACGTGGTGCAAAATTAAAACAGCTTCTAAATATTTTAAAAGTAACAAGATATCATGCAATTTGAAGGCATAATTATTTATATATATTTATTTATAATATATTGAGCATATCAGTTCTTGAATTTGGATATTTTTTTTCACTTTCTTTCAGTTACTGAATCGTGGAAATCAAATTTTACTCCACAAAAGAAGTATCTACACGAATCCTTTGTTAGGTGATTACAGTTTTTTGTTGGATAAATAACTCTTTAAAAAGGGCTATTATACTAACAGCTTGTTTTTCCAAGTTAAGATCATTTTTAAAAATTGGTTAAAATTGCTAATTGTAGACTGCAAAACGCGTATTCAAATACACGCGAGCAGTCAAACAAAAGGTAGGCTTTTCTCTCGCCTCACGGGCGTGTAAAAGTCGCACGCGTCGTGCGCGTAACACTCTTACGCCACACTTTACCGATTACGTTACGCTTTACCTATTTCTTTACTGGTTTTGAGAAAAAAACCGACTGTTTTGCAGTCTATGCTAATTACAGCTAATTCCGTATTCAGTGCGGTTCTAGGCGAACAGTTTAGTGCGCTTTCCGCTGCCATCAGAGTTATCTTGACTATTTTTAGAGGTTGGAGGCAATTAGAAAAACTCTTTATAGTACGTGCCTAGTGTGTGGATTATGCCAACATTTGAAAGCTTGTCAGTGCATGTATACAAAGCTTTAGTACCGGTATTCAAATTAGTGGATGGAAATTTGGAAATTTGGCGCGTTTTGATTGGGTCTCGTAACTCGGAAAATCATTGGCAGATTTAGCAAAAAAGAGGTGACGATAATCTCTATCAACGAAGGCGAGCGCAGATCTGAAAACTGACTCGACAAATAGCAGAGTGGTAAATTGAGTACCGGAAGTAGTGTTCAGCCTTTTTCGCGCGCTTTAGCATTTTCACTGACGTCGTGTTGTCTGCTTCTTCACTCTTTGGTAACTTGGGTCAAAATGGAGTCTTGTTTCGCGAGAGTTTTGGAAGGCGAGATTTTAGCAATAAATGAGGCGACTGTTCTAACAAATCACCAAGAAAACTATGAAATTAGGCTTGTCGGTGTCTACTGGCTGGTAGAAAATTATGTTATTATTAGTTGCAATAAAATGCACTTGGTAAATGGTAAAAATCCCCGAAAACACTGTCAATTAAAACGTAAACAAAATACTCAATAAATGAAATCTTTTATTTTCAAAAATTAGTCCTTTTTCTTTGTTTATTCAACTGACTGGGTCAGGGTCTGTGAATACATGAGTTATATACCTGTAAGCTTTGCGGCTCGGTATACCACTACTATTCACCTCACCTTAGGGAGACAGTTGTATATTATATTCGCGCTCATTGCGGTTTCATATAGAGGGCCCTATAGGGTACAGTAGTTTTCCGGCGAACCCTTTGTGCGACACGGCGCTGAATCTCCGAGCGGCTGGTGACGCAAAAAAGGATATCTCTGATCTTTGTGCAATTTCTTCTGAAAATATAAAATTGACAGTGTGGCTTTCTTTCAATTTAGTGTACCGCTGCTCCCTTCCTCTTGGTTTGGAGAATGGCCATGTATCAGATGCAGCGTTTTCTGCGTCCTCCAGCCTTCAAGCTAAATATGCTCCAGCAAGAGCGAGATTGAACTTACAGGGTAGTAGTAAAGGATATGGAGCCTGGTGTGCAAAAACTAACGACGGCAAACAATGGCTGCAAATTGACTTTGGAGAGCTGGTGCAAGTGACTAAAGTTGCAACCCAAGGACAACAGGACGGTAACAACTGGGTAACAAAGTTCACTCTCTCTTACAGCATGGACGGATATGTGACCCGGCTCATGTTCCTTTTGTCACAGTGCACCCAGTCACTATTAGTAGTTGACGAAGTAACATGGACAAAACTGATGAGACAGTTCTATCTAATTTTTTTTAACTTTTGCCCCACAGGAGCATCCCCTCAAAACAGAAAAGAGTAAGACCCCTCCACACTCCCCTATTCAATATTGCTTTGGTTTAAAAACTGGCGTGTATAATTCTGGTGTTAAACAAAACTGGATAAGAGGAAGGGGGAAATGGTCATTCAGTTTGGCGACGGTTTCTTTATTTCCCAGAATGACAGGAAAACTGAATAGGTATTGTTTTGAAGGAATAGGTATTGTTTTGTCCAAAGTTTTAGGTATTACCTTTTTGATGTCCTTATCATAGTCAAAAAGCCCATAAATATGTATTGGATCTGTAATACGTAACTTTCTTATGGTATAATGAATGTTCTCATTTTGCCATGACTTGTATGTCACGTTTATTGCTTAATAATTCCTGGCAATTTAATTCTTTCCCTGCCTTTGTTTTCTTTGCTCTATCCCTCTTTACTATATAATATATTTTAAACTTTTTTATTTCTTTGTTTCAGGCCTTTTCAGGTAACACGGACAGAAATACATTAGTGGAACACTTACTGGTGACAGCATTCAATGCTCGATTCATTCGCTTTCACCCAAAAACATACAACGGATATACTTGTCTAAGAGCTGAGGTGTATGGTTGTCGAAATGGTACGTTAATCAGTTTAGTATGATTTAAGTTGAAATTACTTTCGAAGAGTTCATTCTGTGTACATAATGTCTAAACAATAAATATTGAACGTGATTAACTGTAGGGAGCAATAGTATGGAATCGGAAAAGATAGAGCAGGCAAACTGCACGAACGAAACTTGGTTAAATAGAGGCGATTTGATTAGAAACAAAGAGCAGCATCTTTGAGTCAGGATCACGTCTCATATCCGTAATGACTATAGAAGAAAAAATTAATCAGACGACGCGCCATGATGTGAATCTCGTCATATTTAATCGGAAAACAGGACAACGAAGGACAGCAGTACACTTCGTAAATGCCGTTTTATTTTACCAATTTGGTTACTAAGTAAGAGATAAGTAAACGAAATCACTTATAATTAGTAACATGTAATTCACCTCTTTATGAATGTAATGAATTAAAATTATTGCCCCGCCACGCAGGGATTTCGCCCGGAAGGCGAAATCCCGAGGATGCACTCTAGTAACTCGCGCGTATATTAAGGAAAGTACTTACAGTTGAAATATACAGTCATACAGTCAATATAGAAAAAAATCTCGGTTTGCTTGAACATGGGCCGCGAGAAATCGGTAGGTAATGATGACGTTTCTATTGTTTGCGCCCTCAAGCACGAAATGGTTAGGATGACGTAAAACACAAAAAATCCCGAAGGGACCGCTTACAATAGGTAGCCTTTTGTGCAGTCATACTTCGATACTCTTCTGCGTTACTTGTTATCAGTGACATTCTGTGGAGCAGTTGTTATGAAAGTTATGGACCAAAAGACACTCGTTAAGCACAGATGAAGTTATAAGGTGCGTGTAACAGTGTATATTTTAAAACCAAGTGAGTTTTGCCAGACACGAGTTCACAAATCTTGGATTGGAAACCTTGCCAGACACTCTTTCTCTTTCTTTGACTGGAATAAGACTCGGCCCCAAACAAGCAAGACGAGTGAATGATTCAACGGCTAGGTTATCACTAGCAGAACGATGGCGATAACAGAAATTCGCCGATCATCAAATTCTGTGCTGACTTATTCCTTGCTCACAGATGTCCTTTCGCTATAAAGTTTAAAATAAGACTAGAATGTGCGAGCGTGATTTGATCAAACGTTCTTTTATTTTCTAAGGCTTACTTTCCGGCAAATAAAATGAACTAAATGTAAAAAGTGAAATAGAAATAGCGAAAAATTAAACTTCTAATTAAATATTTTCTTATGGTTTGGAATAAACTACCGGTATTCTCCATCCTCGGAGACCCAGGGACAGACTGTGCATGGAACCTTGCGTTTCCTGAATTTATCTCATCTATTGTATGGAATATGTGTGAACATCTTCATTATGAAATCGGTATATTTCAAAGAGCTACACAACGAGCAAGAATACTATTGCCCGACAATATACAGAGCGGGGTCAGCTGTAGTGTCAACTATTACTAGTCATAATAAATAGTGGAATTATTTTCAAAATCAATCAGCTGCCTCAATTGGTCCCAACAAATACGATTACAAGTACTTGATCACTTGGTGTCTATTTTTGTAGTTCACAGTTGTTCAATGCCACTTGGTGTGGAGGACATGCGCATTTCTGACAGTGCATTCACAGCTTCGGGCAGCTACGACAACAACCACAGACCTTCTCTTGCGAGACTAAACCTTTTAAGTGACGGTAAACATATCGCTGCTTGGTGCCCTAAAGTTAAAAGTTCTAATCAGTGGCTGCAGATCAACCTAGGGGAAATAACTGCTGTCACTAAGGTGGCAACACAAGGGCGGTATAACAGCGAGGACAGAGTTAAAACATACAAACTGTCGTACAGTGTGGACGGGATTCATTGGACTTGGTACAAACAACGAGCCGTAAATAAGGTAACAAGAGAGATTCCAAATGATATGGGATTCATGAAGCCAAAGTCTATTCCAGCAGTAAACGAATAACCTATGAATAAGTTCTCGGTTGTAGACTGGAGCTGGGAGAGGGCTTAAGTCTATCAGTCAGTCAGTCAAACGGACTACAATACAGACTGAGACTGCTGGAGTACTTGTGATCTGTGCGTAATTTGACTTATGCACTGTGAGTAATAAACCGGCTGATAGCTGACTGACTGATGATTGAGACGGGGTGCATCGATTTGTGTTGATCTATCGTCTATCAATAGAACTGGCCAACAAAACTACTCTTATTTCGGATTTTAAAGTGATTTTCTGTATTTGGACGCAAATTTATACGTAATTAAACATCAATTTATACAAGCTTACTAATGCCGTTTTTTGTAACAAAGCAAAAATTATATAGAACCTTGATAACATTAAAAACACACATTGAAAATTACATGGTAATTTAAACATTGAAACCAAACTTCAAACATCTTCACGAAAATCGAAACATGAGCCGTTACCCTAAATCATCAGTTTTGGTTTTGATAAAGCACCAAAAATAGGATCTTAGGACTGTGTAGAAATTTACAGGGTAGGTATTTGAAGTTTTTAAACGAATATAATGGCATCCAGTCGAAAGTAAACTATACAAATGTAACTGCTAACTACTCATCCACTGGGGTAGAGTCTTCACAACTGTTAACTACACTGTAACTTTCCTCAGGTGTTTGCTGGGAACACTGACAGGAACACAGTAATTATACACACCTTAAAGCCCCACATCGAAGCTCGCTTTATCCGCTTTCATCCATTGACCCACAATCTTAATATTCCTTGCCTGAGAACTGAACTGTATGGCTGTCGAAGTGGTAGGTATCTTGTGTTGCTTAATATGATAGTATGTTTCCATCTTTCTTTTCTCTTATTTCATTGATTCTTTATCAGCATCAACTGCATTACTTGATGTAACATCACGCGTGAAAAAAGCTGCAAATCTCTTAACCGTCTTTTCCTCATTTCCGATTGAAAGCTTTTTTGTGGATAGTTTTACTGGAATTTTGAGCATTGAGCTACCAGCGGACGAACAACGCAAGCTATCCATATTTTGATATCGTTTAAATTTGATATTTTATCTAGTGAAGAGCTGCCTAATGCCAGTGGGGGTGGAAGACGGTAGAATTCCTGAAGAAGCATTCTCTGCATCATCATATCACAATGCTAGCTACCTTCCAGACCGAGGCAGGCTTAATTTGTTACCAAATGGCGGGAAATATTGTTGGGCTGCTAAACAAAATAATGCCAATCAGTGGCTTCAGGTGCGCAATTGTGTCTACAGGCCATTTATAACATTATCTCTTATCCATTGACGCGTTGCTAGCTAACTTTGTTTTTACCACTGTATAGTGCTCAGAGAAGTTGCAATAAGGGCCAGTAGCAATTAAAGCTTTGCATTATAGGGAGTCTTCCTTCCATGAGCTGTATAGCTAGAGTTTGCTAAAAAGTGTATATTTCAAATTTCTCGGTGAAGAATGAAAATATTGCACATGACTAACAAAAGCAAACCCTTTGGTGAGTTTTTGAAAAAAGCATCTTATTTTGTCCTTTTGAAATTAAGATGTCTCAGTCTAAATCATATTTAACATCAGACGTTTTCCCAGCACTATTCTCGTGAAGATCTAGTTTGAAAACTGAATGTTCATTAAATATTAAATTACATTTGATTCCCATGGTTAAGATCCTTTAAAACTGGTATGTGAAACTGCATTTTCGACTAAGAACAATGGACTCACCTCTGTGTATCCTCTAATTCCAGGTTAAACTGGGTCGCCTGTTCAAAATAAGAGGCGTGGCCACTCAGGGTCGCCATGACGCTGACCAGTGGGTGACAAAGTTCTCAGTGTCTTATACTGCAGACGACCTCAACTGGGTTTACATCCGAGAAGACAGTCAAATTAAGGTAATAAAAACAGAAAAAAAGATTATTGACTGTTGTTTTAGGCGTGTAATACTGTCACGGCAGCGTTAGCTTGCTAAATGAGAGGCTGATTAGCTGAATGATTAACTATAATAATTAAACGAATGGGTGAATGAATGAACTTATGATGATTGAATAAATAAATAAATTAAATAAGCAAGTGATTAACTGAAAGGCTGAATGAAATACAGCTGACTAAGTTATCGATTATGTTATGCTAATCGTCCGCACTTTTACCTATTGCCTGCTATTGCCCAATTTCAAACCAAGCGGGGCGGGGTACGAGTCCGTGAATTAGGGGACAAACAACAGGTAGCCCAAATAGTCAAAAAGTACTTAACAAGCTTTGCAAAAGTCTCAAGTTTGGTGTTGATCGGTCCAATATTCAACAAGATATCACTGTTTAAAAACTTGAAAATTTACTAAGAGATGTATGGTCGATTTACACAGCTTTGATCAAAACATTCACAGTTTCGAGAATAGTTTATTCTAAACCATAAGAAAAGATTTAATTAGAAGAGTTGAATTTTTCGCTATTTCTCTTTCACTTTTTACATTCAGTTCATTTTATTTGCCGGAAAGGAAGCCTTAGAAATTAAAAGGAAACAACTGCTCCACAGAATGTCACTGATAACACGTAACGCAAAAGAGTGTTGAAGTATGACTGCACAATAAATTCACAAAATCTACCTAAGCGGTCCCTTGGGGATGTAGACAGAAATGCAGTAGGATTGGTAAAGCATGAACGCCCGCGTTTGTTATCTTTGCAGTAGTAATGGATGGCTAAGGAGCGCCGGGGACAAGTTCGAAATGGAGATTTTTTCTATATTGACTGTATGACTGTATATTTCAACTGTAAGTACTTTCCTTGATATACGCGCGAGTTACTAGAGTGCCTCCTCGGGATTTCGCCTTCTGGGCGAAATCCCTGCGGGGGCAATGACGCGTCACTACCCGGATCTGGGTAGTGCTGCTGATTGGTTGAATCAAATTTCCCACGCGGCATGACCAATCAGAAGCACTACCCAGGTCTGGATAGTGACACGTCATCAGTATGGAATTTCTGTGCTTGTTTCTCAGACGAGACGTTATTTCGCTGAGAAACCAGTGGTGGTGTCACGAAATGTCGGCTCAGGCTAGACGTTATTTATCTCGATTACCAGCCGCTGTTCGAGAAATGAGCCCCCCTGTGAATGGTTGTATCTAGTTCAATATAGGCCTGATGAACGCTTAACTTGAGGGTTTTGTAAATGTCAGTTTCCTCTTTCCGACTACGTGGGTCTCGAGTGGTTTACATCATTATTTCAAAGTTCATCCACGGGTCAGAATCCAGGCACGCAAGCCGCGGGCAGCAATTGCCAGAAGTTGGTAAGAGTCGGTAAGGACCGGACGGATTTTCTTTGTTTCTAATCTCGCTTGCTGGGATACAAACAGGACAAATTTTAAGAGGAAAGTCGGACTGCAAGCAGTCTGTTAAGAACCAAGGTGGCAGAACATTGCAAGCCTGTCAGAATACAAAAAGGTTTTGTCCAGCACAAATGACCTATCTGACCTATATTGTCCCTCTTATTAGCATGCTAACTAAAGACTGACTGTTACATTTGTTCATTTATTTATTTCATTTATTTGAATTTGATTGGTTCTTCTGTAGGTGTTCTTTGGCAACAGTGATAGAACTACAGTGGTCAAACATTTCTTTCATCCTGGCACGGGAATCTTTGCTCGAAGTATTCGTATCCACCCTAAAGCTTGGCATGGCCATATTTCAATGAGGGTGGAGATATATGGCTGTGAAGAAGGTGTGTAAATTTTTCATATTTTATCATTCTCTTCCATGAGGCTTTACCGGGGAACACCGTGCAGGGAACTTTGCCAAAATAAGGCTTGCGACTTTTAGTCACTGTCCAGCAGTATTGTAAAAAATAAACTAGCCACGCCCTACCCCTCACTGACGCCTTGCGAAGAGGTTGTGAGTTCCTGAACGTCTCCTAAAAGTAAGGCAGACCAAACAGATCGAAACGGATGTGGAATAAGGGCCAAGGACCAAATGCCACTTTGCTCCTCAGAGACTCAGGTCTTCATCACATACCAGCATGCCTCTTTCAAGTTTTTTTTCAGCTGCCGGTCTGAAAGACTACAAATAGTCCCTTTTTTTTTTTTTGAGTCACGGTAGATCGAGAGTACGCGTGAGAAGAGAGTGGCGAGGCTGCGAGGGCGGAAGCCCGAGCCAAGAAAATTGCCCCCTGCGCTCCAATCTCTCCTCCTTTTTACCATTAATTTGCATAATTCTACTTGTTCGCTCCGGGCGCGCGTGGCTCTGAAACCGTTCTGGAGAAAGAAGGACAACCGCTTGCGGTCCACCTGCGTTCCAATTATGCAATGAGAGATTTGTCTTTAACTGTTCTCAATTAGACTTCTTTCTGGTCTTAAAGAATTAAACAACTATGACAAAGCGAAAATAAGACGAATGTACACATTAGTTTCTCTTAGTTACAACGCAACACAAAAACTTTATGAGCTGATTACTGGTTCAAGAACACGAAGGAGATTAAAGTTTAGGTAATGGAAAACTCCAGCAATTAGTCGCTATCTCCATTTGCGTCTTTTTGCCAATGTGTGACTATAGTTAGTAAATGTGACATAAGTTTATATGTATTCGACAAGCAATTTACATTAAAACTGTTTTTTTTATAACCCTCCAATAAGTTGTCCTGTTCAGTAGCGGTAGGTTTTAAACAAAAATGCTAAAGATAAACCGAGTGTTGCCAAGCATTACATTTGTTTTCTGTCACCTATTTTATGTCAAACAGCTCGCAGTTGTTTTTTACCTCTGGGTATGGAGAGTGGACATCTGCCTGATAGCTCATTATCAGCATCAACATCAGCCAACGCCAATCACATTCCTCAGTTTGGCCGCCTGAATAAAATACCAGCTAGTGGAAAAGCAGGAGCCTGGTGNGATAATTATTTGGCTAATGACTGCCCTGTGTTCTCTTCCTTTTTTCGTTAATCGAGAATAAACTTCTTTTTTATAAGGACACCGTTGCTCCATGTCGCTTGGAATTGAAGATGGCCGAATTCAAGACAGCGCCATTACTGCGTCCACCATTCACAGCAGTGCCTTCGTAGCCCACCTCGGCCGTTTGAACCTGGTGGCTAGGTCTGGTAAGTCAGGAGCCTGGCGTGCAAAGACAAATAACAACAAAGAATGGCTGCAGATCGATCTTGGAAATCCCACCACCGTCACTAAAGTAGCCACGCAAGGAAGGCAAAATGCCGATCAATGGCCGACCAGCTACTCAATATCTTACAGCCTCACAGGTTCTTATTGGGTCCAGTACACAGTGCGCGGTAAAATAAAGGTAATAACACTATATTACACCGGCCTCAGAAAACACTTAGTCACCTAAAGCATCTCTAAAGTTGAAAAATAGAAATGATGAATGTTAAACTGTTGGCAACTGAAAAAATCCTCGTCTTTCGGCTCGAATATAAATATAAAAAGACATTCGTCAGTCAAAGCATTGGTGATTTAAATGTTGAATCAAAATGATGTTTTTATTGAGGAGATCAAGCTAAGGCACCGGCACCAAGCCCACTGTGTGTCGTGTGTACTTGAAAAAAAAGAAAGCCTGTTCACTGACATTGGTACCCAGCCCAGAGCACCCAGATCTCGTAAACAGAATGCTCTGGCTCTTTGGTCAGCAGGGCTCTGGGTAAGAGATTGGCGAGTAACGCGGCTTTCGACAACCATCTTCGTTTTCTTCAAATGGTGTAAAACAAACTAGAGATAAAAAAAATATTCTAGCAAAAAAATGGATTGTTTCTTACTGTAACAAAAAAACCAAAGTGCTGGTTGTTATTAAATATTCCAACACCTTTATTTTTTATAATTCCTCTGAAATTATTTTATGATGTTTCGATTTTATAGGTCCTCCGGGGAAACTTTGATCGTGACTCGATTGTTGTCCATGATTTGTTCCCGCCATTCCATGCCCGCTTTGTTCGAATCCATCCTTTGAGCTGGTATGGCTTTGTTTGTGTGCGTGCTGAGCTGTATGGATGTCCTATTACGGTAAGAGTCCAGTAGTTATAGACCTTTTTAGCCAGTGAAAGTCTATTTTTCTCAGTACAACTCGTCGTGTGATATTACGCTCAGGACCCGTCCACTCACATGGGGATATTTTTGACACCGCATACAGTATTTATTTTTTTACTTTTTCCCCGTCCACACAATTAAAACCGCTAAGTGAGTGAATCCTCTCAACGGAACCACGTCTTTTTAAAACTGCTCTCCAGAGTGGTTTGAGGCCCCGTCAACACGAATCGGACTAAAAAAAAAACAACATTTAACATTCAACAGGACACTGGACTTAAAGAACAGTTTCCTGCATATTTCGTCTTATTCACGTGAAATTACACCCAATTTACGAAAGAAAAATAAACAAACCCCGATGATCTTTTAGGGAAAGCAAAATACACAAAAGTAATAAGTAGGGACTTATGCTTGGTAAGAAGCAAAGAAGAGAGGAATGACGTTTTCTGTCAGTATGTAATTTCAGGCTTTAACGATGTCAATAACTTGAAGAAAAGTTATTTTGAGAATTTTGACAGCTAAAAATAAAAATGATGTTTTATTTTGACAAGCAAGATACCAAAGTATGACATGATTTTTTTTACTGAAAATTTACTTGTATCCTTCATTTTAGGGCATTTAAACAGATGCAGTGTAGAGAAAAGCGCTGAGACGAAGCAGACACCGTGCTGACCGCTCAGTGACGTATTTGGAGTTTTAATGAAACCCTGTTTCATTTTACTTTGAGGGCGTAACATGTAGAATAAAAAGGAAAAATTATGGCCTGTGTACATGTCCTTCATACATTAGTAGTATAAGGCAAAGTTCCAGATACTTTTTGGGGAAAAATATGTTTTAATCCAACTGCAAATTTTAAGAATCTCAATTATGTTATGCCGGAGAATCGATTTGCGGACATCACCAGCATCCAAATTGCTGACAATTAAGCGATGTATTTTCCCTTACTAGCCTCCAGTCTCTAATAAGCCACCCACCCTCCCTACCCATACGTTTTATTTCCACAGTCAGCCTGATGCGCGAAATAATAAAGGTACCTAATAATCCCCAACCTCAAATCAGGATGCAGGATTAACTGCGTACATGAAACAGTTTCACTCATTCCTAGAATTGTCCTTTTTTGGCGCACATTAGTTAGAAACCCTGCCGCGCACTCTCTAACCATTTTTCAGCTTTCGATCAGAACATTATGAATGAGGACAGTTACTGATATATTTAGAATTAACGTTTGTATACAAGCCTTAACTTAAGCCTCTACAGCTTAGAAAGGTCCATTAATCGAAGAAGCACAAATAATGGACGAAAAACTGGATTTGCACCAAATTTGCTCATGTTCAAATTTATGCAAACTGAGGGATAAATCTGTGAAAAGCGGTAAATGCCACATTTGCATACCTATTTACACTGGGGTGTAAATAGGTATACAGAGAACAGGAGAAAAATGCTTGCTTACTTAGTTTTCATTTTAAAAAGGTTCAGGAGAAAATGGTCGATGAGAGCCGTTTAAATCTCTCTGCACATCCGGCTAGTAGTTAAATGTTAGTAACGTTTTTTAAATGTCTAGGGAGGCGCTGAAATACGGTACTTCTTCTCCCACTTCATGAGAAACACCACAGCATTATAGAATGCAATTTTTCTTTATTGTTTTCTACACCGTTCACTGTTTCCCAAGTTACATAATCAGTTTTTCATGTCTTAGACGTCTACATTCCTTTTTGAGTAATCCAGGGCTCTTGTTGCGGCACAAATACTCCTGGCTGTCCTGGTCATTTTAACCAAATGGCTGGGCTGAAACAAGAAAAGTATCTTGACTTAATGACTTTGTCATGGTTACTTAGGAGAAACTAACTTACGACAATTCAAAGGATTAACTCAACAAAGGGGATATTCAATTTCCATATTAGTCAATATATGCACTATTGTGTCGTTGTCATTGACTGTGTACAGGCTGTTGTGTTATTGTTAGAGCGCCAGGGCCTGTTCTTTGTGACGTAACCCAGGACTTCATATTACCACTTGGTATACGGTACACAACGCTAAAAAGACGTGTTTGTAGTACCTTATGACAGCGCATGCTCTCAGGGAGAAAATTACAATACAACAACAGTAAAGAAGGAGCAGTATCCTAAACACTTCCCTTTACTTCTAAAATTGGCCTAAAAGTAAAAACTTCTAACATGCTGATCCAAATCTGAGAAAACAACCGACTTTAAGGCGTAGCGTTAAGCTGTGCAGCAAATGAATCCCCGCGACACAACGTCTGGGGAACGAGTGCAGAAATTCCATGCTTATGACATGTTACCACAGCCCCTAATTGGATGAAGTCAAATAAAACAAAATACCCTATGGTACGCATTCGCCACTTAAGACATGAGAAAGGAACTGGAGCCGAGATGTGCGGCCCGCAGTTGTTTCTGGGATTGTTGCTAGAAACTTGTCTATCAGCCAGTAACGGTCCCAGAAGTCTTTTCGAAAGTTCACTCGGCCCCATTTCCTTCTCGCTTCTTAAGTGGTTCATGGCTCTTCTGTGAAAAGCTCGATATCGATCTCTTTCTCACAGGACTAGGGTGTCACTTTCCCCTTCCCCATCAGCCAGTCACTCACAGTTGTCCAGTTGTTCTCTTGTAGTTAGGTTTGCTTGATTCAGTCAATAAGTGGTTTGTACGGTGCCGGTAACTATTGACTACGATTTAGTGACGTTTGTCCTAAGTTAGTAAAGCAATTGAGCCGTTGACTGAGTAGTCGGTAGAATAGGTAGATGTCGCGAAGTCCCAGTCGATTTGTTGTTCCTATTTATATTCACGACTAAGAGACGGGAATGGGTGTGAAGCTCGAACTGTGGAGCCTGAGTGTTTAATGCCGTCCAAATAACATACAAATTTCAACATCATAACTAAAGAATGGTATACAAATATTCCTAAATAAAGTCACTCAGTCTAAACTATTCACGTGCCCCGCCTGATACGAAAACGCAAAAACCCAAAGGGAAAAAATTGGGAACGTATTCCCCAACCGATTCGGTCGCACAACCCCTGGGGGTTAAAGGAAAAAAAATCAGTAGAAAGATGGATAAAGTAACACATAAAAATAAAAGTTGATAGTTCGAGAGCTGAGATGAATACATTACAACTGTCAAAACCTTACACACCTAACAACAATAGAGTCAATTAACGCCAAAGCAACTCACGTGCGTTCATACCAATAGGAAAGTATTTACATTCTCTTTCACTGCCACTGCGTTTAGCTCCGCCGAATGTAAAACATTTTGCTGTGCCTTGCATTGGTGATGGTCTCCCAGCTTTAGGAGCCGCAAGGAAAAAAGCTAGCAATGCGACAGGTTTTGGTTTCGTCGACGTACAGAGACGAGGAAGTAAATTTAGAATACATTTGCCTATCAGTTTAAATGTTTACATTGCTACACTCGCGTCACTAGATTAGAATACAGGCTATTTCTTTCCTAGTAGCAATCGTCCTTAACAATTTGATCAGATTATGTCAATGTTCTTCCGTTCTCGGTTATTACTTTTTTCTCGCGGACAACTCAGCATTAAGGTCATTACTAGATACGCTTATACTGAAAGTCTACGAAAGTATATCCGAAAAATTTACGGTGACTATCTCAATTCGAAACTGTCTAATTAATTTTGACTTTGACTGAAGCCCATCAATAACAAAACTGACTTGCAGCAATAGCCCATGAATAATTTTAAAATGTATTAAGCGAGATCTTTCACGTTCTGAGAGAGTCTGTGATCTGCGTTCGTGTGCGACCACTATTCCATTTTCCCCGTTTCCTGCAAAAGAATTCAACAAATGATGTTGAATTTCCGGCTGACTATTTGCCTTTGGGTTAAAAGAATTTATATCTTCGTTGTCTGACGTGAGAATGGACATCACACCAGGTATGGAAATTTTTTCAAGTCCTACGATGTTATCGGCGTGTAATTAGAAAATATCGATAATTTATCTACTCGCAAAAAACTGTTATTGTTTTCTTTTTTAAAAAGTGCCAGCAGGCAAAAGAGAAGGAGAGACGTACGCTGCAATCCCCCAAATATCAAACCATACTCATCCCGGAATTAATGGAGGGATAATCGAGAAAAAACCATTTTTATTTAAAATATTACAGACGTTAAGAAGGTATTATTTGACTCGCGCGTTTATATAAAGTACCTTGCGCTAGTCAAAGGTCTGTAATCTTCGTCAAGTTTTAAACTTGATCAGAGGCAGTGTTTTTGGTTGGTTAGATTGAAAACTATTACACTCTTTTTTCTGAAAATGGAATATAAAGAAATTTAAGCAAAACGGATTATCCAAATACGTGACATCGGCAATTTTCGCGAAGTTCAAGCATCAGATAAATACAGTACAAAGCCGAATGGGGTTTTATTCGTAGCCACGAACGGGCCAAAACTCACTAACAGTCAGCTTAGAATTTATTTTAATTTTAATTTTTTTTCAAGTTCTGATTGCTGAGCTCTTAATCCGAAAAAATAACTGATTAGAAATATCCAGAAAACTAAATGTTATATTAGATCAGAGTGATTCGAGCACCCATTAAGGAAATTCGTCAGTTCAGAGATAAAGGGGTGGCGAATGGTAAAATACGAGACTCACCGAGACGCCGAGATCCTAGTTAGAAATCCGAGCCCGAGACTCTTTGGTAAAAAGTTTCGAGACTCAAAAAAAGTAAAAACAAACCATGCAAAAACGAGACTTCGAGACTTATCAAAAATACTTCCGAGATTTCGAGATCCTGCCAAAATTTTCCGAGACCCACGTTCTTCGTGGTACCATTCGCCACCCCTAGATAAAAGAAGTACAAATTTTTAGTACCACTCAAGCAAAAGCTCAGCGGATTTGTTCAGTAACTGTACTTTTATAGAGATCTTTTGTTCCCAATTTTTACGTAATTTAATGAAACTAACTAACAAAGACTACTGACTAATTAACTCAACAAATATGTCAGGCCTTCGCTTTTGTCTATTGGGAAGATC